AAATTTATCAAAGGGACCAGATGCTTTGAATATGTTCTTTATATTTCCATAAAATCGACAACGAACAACACATGCATTTTCCATAACATTTATGCAGACTAACACAGAAACACTTAGACTACTGAAATGTTTTGATGACAAATGACAAAGCATGAATTTATGATGACTAGTTAGAAGTAATCAGTTTGAACGACGAATCGGTCAATCAATGGCGCAAACACAAATACTGCTAAATGTACCGTTTGAAAGTACGTTTTGATGTTTGATGAAAAACAGAATATTCTGCTGAAGAAACTGTTGCGTATACAGCGAAACGTTCGGAAAAATAGTGTTTCGATTTTCTAAAGTACCCTGGGATTACATATCGAAACCTACTTGTACATATACACAAATACATATTCATTCAATTCATCTGTTTTCAGTTACTTCACATCGATGTTATCTTTAATTCAAACCAACAACTCTCTATCAAACTGACTTAAGTTGTAAGCAGCTGATGAGAAACCATGAAATAAAATGGATCTATACTATTCTCCTAAAACTGTTGTTCTAGTAAGCTATTTATTGACCTGCACTCCTCTCTCGACAGCCAAGAAGGATGATATTGAAATGGACTTGGCAAGAGCATACTTGGCGCAACCAATTTACTTCTCCCACAGAAACATTCAAAGTTGTAAATATGCACTGAGGAACCTGACAGAGCTGCTATATCTCCTTTGAATTTGACACTCATAAACATGATTTTATTCAAAATTGTAGGATCTTTCTCAATATGTTGTTTGGGCTTTAAGTTTTTCTGGATAAGTCTGCTGGGGTAACCAATTTTAAATAAGTAGTTGACGCAGTCTTTCTAGTTAACCTTGAATTGCTTTTTTTGCAAAGATCCGTCCGGCACTCAAAGATCGTAGGTTAATTAATTTTCTCCTTCTGACCAGTCACATCCAAATCTGAAAATGCTTGTACTATCGCTTCTATCTCGATTTCCTGTAAGTTGATCTTTCAGCTGAGACACTTTGTCTTCTCCTAAGTAGAAAATCCAGGAGGCGAAATTTGTCATCCGCTCCAGGATCCAGTGTTAACTGGATTGATTGATGATAACGATAACATTTTTAAGGTATTTTCTTTAAATCACTGTTTTTTATCACAGATGATAGGTGTAACATCCATGTATCATTAGTGTAAGTAGAACTCTTCAGTCATCAGATATAACACTGTTATCTAATTTTGCCAGGAAGCCATTTGCTCTTAAATGACTACGAGGTGACCTCATTGCTACTCCATCACTCTGTCAGTAGAAATGATCCCTAAACCGAGAATAAACTTTGAAGGTGTAATGCAAAAGTAAATCTTTTAAATAATGTTTTGGAATAGCAAAGACAAATTTCCTAGTTCATTAAATATGTGCAGTAGACATAGTGCACCCATGACGCCGCTGGAGACCGCAGCCAGGACCTTCAGGTCCCACAGGTACCACGTTTCCATCGAGTCACTGGGACGAGGTCTGGTAGTCCATGTTTCCTACTTCTGTCAGTTCACAGAATAACACAGCCTGCATATAGTGCCTGTTACTATGTCCAGCTTGGTCGACCCCACTTGTCACAACTCATTAGAACTTAGGGAATTACCTCACGAAGCGAGTCACTATTGAACACTAAAACAAGTTTTCAGGTTTGTGAGGATATATTTATCGATTTCAGGTTGGTATTGATCATGGACTGACATCAGTTGCAGAAACATTGGAAATAAGGGAGCACCGAACAGCTATTTCATCCTATTATGTGACTTCTCAAGAGTGTGCACCTATTATCCCGCCAGGGCCATATTACATTGGAAAAATTGACGAGAACTACATGTGATATGTTCAAAAATTCAAACACCGAAGGTCTTTTATAACAACAATGTGGAGTGAAAAAAACGAAAAAAATGTCATACTGTTAGATCACAACTACGACCTTTTAATTTCTAAAAGTCAGTTCATACAACTAAGCAAATCAAGAATGATGACTATTACTGTCATACAACTCTAGAAGCTGACAGAATGGGATCTTGAAGTGAAGTAATGATCAAGTTATTTAAAAATTCGCACTTCCACCAATGATTTTGCAAAGTGGTGGTTCATTATCTCAGTGAACTGAGAACTAACACTGGAAACAGCAAAAATATGATACTGAACGGTTACGTGATGATCCTACATACACATCGATGGACGTGTAAAGAAACCAAAGAAAAATCTGTTGATATTCTTCTGACTACCCAATCTACATGGAACCACTGTACTTCATCCCATCCTTAATGCTCTCAGATATAACCATACTTAGCCAGTTCACTGGGCAGCAGCAATCAAATGGCAGTCTTCATCTCGTGACTGTACAATATTGACTTCTCGTTGCAGTGAGAAAGTCAACTGGCCTCAACAGTAATGTCGATGAAGATATCGTTCACAAATTAGTTCAGGATTAGCATTACGCCTGACGAGCTACCGGTAGCGGGTTATACGTGACGGAGAACCTTGTCGTTTTAGATGGCATAACTCTCCTTCCTTCTCATCTTCCTTTAGCAACTTATTTTTTAGAGTCTTCTTCGCAACTTTAGCGAAAAAACCTTTGGGAGAATTTTTCGGAAGATGAATGAGCACTTTTAACACCAAAATACTACTTACATGTTAATGATTTTCGGGGAACTTAATTTGCCGATATGGAGAAAAAATGCTCGAAGTATTCAAAAAGGGTAGCATTAACTGGATAACGTTTAGGACAAAATTTACTGCCCATATTCATATCAGGTAACTCCACAACTTTGAGACAGACTTTATATATTCCTAATTTTCTCTCCTCTGAGATGACAAGATCTTATCGATGCAATTAAGCAAAACAATCTGGTTTACCAGATTCCTTGAGATGATTGCGAGGTCGAGTACATAGGTCAAAGCAGTCTACCAGGGTCGATTAGAATAAGAGAGCACAAAAACTTAGCTAAATCAAGATTAGTAGATCCTAATAAGATAAGAAATCGGGAGAAAGGCCCGGCTATAGCTCTGCTTGCGATGATGCACAATCACACAGTAGGGTGGGATAGAGCGACAGTGTTGAAAACTTAGTTGGGTGAAGAGAGAGATTGATAACTGAATCTCTGTTTATCGAACCAACACCAAATACATGCAATCGAAATGATACTGCACCTATCCCAGATATATGGCAAATTCCACTACTCCTGTCATCACAGAGAAGGAGAGAAAATTAGGATTATATAAAGTCTGTCTCAAAGTTGTGGAGTTACCTGATATGAATATGGGCAGTAAATTGTGTCCGAAAGGTTATCCAGTAAATGCTACTGTTTCACTGTGTGATATTTCTAATAAGCAGACTAAAATGGAATTACAGTCGACCACAGTGCCCAAGTTTTACTCTTATATTACTCAAAAAGGGAATAGGTAAATGATCTTCATAAGTTAGTGACACTGCTTCTCAGTTAATCATTAGGAAATTAGCAATAAGTGACAAATAAATGGTAAGTTATACACCTACATTTTAAGGACGTAATGTTTATGTTTTTCATCGTCTGTTCCGAAACAGTTCCTCCTAAATGCCTTGGTTAACTGACCAATATCTTTCTTAGTTCTTTAGTTGGGTTGGTTAGTAATTATTTTTTTAACTGATGAGTTGTATTGCGAGACTTTATTCAAAATTCGACTTGCACTTATTACGAAACTAAAACACTCTTTTCTGAGTACAATAAAGATTAGATTTCTTGAATCTCATTCTTTATAGTTATTACATTCGAAAAAGGTTAATAATTATCATTGAAGTTTGATATTTCCTACCGACTACCTACAGCAGTGGTTTCTTCAGCCGCTGTGGGAGTATGAATTAAAGCTATCTCATCAAGACTATGCTCATCTCATAAACAGTGGTTTTTGCAACTCAGTAACGTAATTGATAACGAACACCGGGTCGACTGAAGCGATTGGTTCGAGTCTTAGTCTAAACAACATCACCCACTTGAAGAAAGGTACATTCGGATGAGGAGTCGCAACTAAAACAAAGAATGCATCCTAGATTCCATTGTTAGCCATTCTTCATCATTACTACCGAAGTGAAATTATTGACCGTAACAAGGCATTCGCACGCGAGCCCATATACCCAATAGTAGGCAGTCGATTTCGTATAAAAATGGTGGGAAATTACAAGCCGTAACATCATGAAGTCCCTAATATAGCCTTTTATCCAATTTGGGTGAGTTGATATCATCATGAAAACGTTAATGATAAACAGGGTATATGCACATTCAGATAATGAGTGAACTGAAATATAGAACGTTGGATTCTGACCCAGTGACTCAACGGTAACATGGTGGTCGAGAAAGTTTTGGGTTCGATCGCTGGTGTAGTTATGAGTGCATACTGCTGAGGAGTCCGATATTCGGACGAAACGGCTATCGAATGCCCAAGGTTTCCAATGTTTCTCTAACTGATATCAGTCTATGATCAATACCAACCCGAAGTCAACAAATGTATCCCCACAAACTTCAAAATTGAATTAACAAGTAATAAATAGAATAAAATACACGACTAATCATTACACTTCATCAATAACGCAGATGATCTGCATAAAGAAGCCTGTAATTTTCAACAACCAAAAATTAGTAAAGAATAGCTTCAGTACTTCATGAACGTACTTGGGCTAAGATCACAGGATATAACGAAATGAATTTTTATTGACCAAATAAAACAGCAACAAACTGCTAATGTTGATTGGTTTTAAAAGAGTCAGTAAAAAAAACAGCTAACACTGAACTGGTAAATAGGATATTTTCAGCAATTTCTTCTATTCATCTAATTTCCTTGTCCTATGAATTGTTTCGTGAACTAGTCCACTTTTGTCTGATGGTCAGGTTGATCTATCTAGTCCTCAACATGTGATTATTTTCATTTATCGAACAATTTCCTTGTGATGTAATCAACACTAATTGCCCTTCTGGGTGATTTTTTCTTTGAAAAAAAGATTTAATTATCGAAGGATCTCAAATATATGTGAATACAATGAGAAAGAGAATATAATTGAATATGAATTGTGCAGCACTAATACAGTAAGTCAGTCATCTAAAATTACCGCTATTAATAATCAATTAATTAGTTGATATATCATCTGTTATCAATTCATATCTTGAAAATTCTGATCATCTAGTTTTTGATAACTCCGATTACTACTGACAAGTATGATTGAGGGTTGAATCTAAAATAACTGCTCCAGAACAAATCCAGTTTATGGCTCATAGGGGTGTGTAAAATGGCCTCTACTGGTTTCGGTGTATTAGAGGAGGAGGAGGAGGAGGAGGAGGAGGAGGAGGAGGAGGAGGAGGAGGAGGAGGAGGAGGAGGAGGAGGAGGAGGAGGAGGAGGAGGAGGAGGAGGAGGAGGAGGAGGAGGAGGAGGAGGAGGAGGAGGAGGAGGAGGAGGAGGAGGAGGAGGAGGAGGAGGAGGAGGTGATAAAATAAAGAAGAAGCCTTGTTAGCTACAGCATTCCTGGAAGTAATTGTTTAAGATTGTTTTGCAAATCTAGGTTTCCAAATTCTAACCATTACTTGATTGAATCTACAGTAGTTAGCCAGAGAATAATCAAATGAATGAGATAGCTGTTGTCTACTGTGAGATTTTGAAGATAGGACAATAATTCTCAGCAGTATGGATGCTAGATGGTTGAACATATTTGATTGATAACTGTGTTACCATTGACATCCATAATAAGGGGGATAAAAAAGATCTAAGAAATACGGTGTTTCAGTTTCGAAAATCAAACAGTGAGTGCATCAAACACCTCTCCATCTAATATTATTTGACAAAGTGAAAACCCATCGGTAGATGTTAGTTGGCAGAAAGCCCTGAACCTAGGTTTCATGCTTGTTAGGACTCGTCAGAAAGGCTTATCTGCAACCTCGACGAAACTTGTCTCCCGCCTGGGATTCTAATCCGCGTCACCTAATGTTGTAGTCAGCGACCGAGTATACTTTTTTTCACGAATTGTAATAATTTGAAAAGTAATTGGAAACTAGGAAGAAGAGACATCTAATTTGTCCCAATTTTTGAGTCATCAGTAGGCTTCATTGAAAGTTGTGTGTGCTAGCTACCTGGTTTCCACTCTACTCCTGATTAGAAGTAGCTCAGTTATCAAAAGATCTTAACGCTTCCAGTCTAAACATAGTTATGAATATTCATCCGGTTATTTCTATGCAGTCATAACGACTCAGTCACCACTACGTCACATTTTATCAGCTAGTGCTGTGTAAGAAAGGAAATTGAATACGGAACCATGATGTCCAAGCTTCATCATGATAAAGTTAGGAAGAGTAGTATTGATAGCAAGTTTGTGTGTCACGAAGATAATAAAACAAGCAGAAAATGCGTAAGGTAAATGTTAAGTGGTCAACCAAGCTCTTCTTGCGATTACTCACCTCTGGGAAGCTTCAAAGTTATTAGTAATCATTTACTTGATACCCTGGACTTTATCTCATCAATCCTTGAACAAGAATCGTTGTTACCAATGGCACCTACTTATTTGTGTCAACAAGTACTGAATCTATGTGAAAACAGGGATTACTCCTAAATGCTTCCAGTTTGGTAACTCACCTAACTTAGTAAATACATTCCATATTTGATTAACCAGATTTGACTTGCACTCAGGTCTAGGTGAGGTGATGATACGCTTAGTACTCAGTGACTTACCAGTGCATCTGAATCAGTCCTACAAGATATCAGTTGGATTTTCAGTAGCAGAACTTCGTGTTGGGTGTCCTGGAAATCAATCTCTGGGATCATAGATACACCATAGCGTTCGGTATCAACAAATGAATAATTCCATAGATTGCCCCATTTCTAAACAGATATTTTTATAAAATATTGTTCATTTTATTATTTCAAGTTGTTTTTCATCGTAGACTGACATCAGTTGGAGGAACAAAGGAAACCTGGGAGCACTAGGCAGCTGTCTCGTTCTAGTATGGGACTCCTCAGCAGTGCACTATACCGTGAGTTAACATAAGTTGGAAATATTGATCATTGGATTCTCAACCATTGGCTCAATGGTTACTTGATGGCCATGGGACCTGAAGGTCATGGGTTCAATCCCTGGAGGGATCGTTGGTGCGCACTGCTGAAGAGTCCCATACTAGGACGAAACAGCTGTCCGGTGCTCCCAGGTTTCCCCTGTTCCTCCAGCTGGTGTCAGTCTACGATGAATAACAACTTGGAATATTTCCAAATCCCCACAACTCCCTTAAAATTCTATTTTATTACTATCACATTTTAGAATGAAGAATATTCAAAATATATAGATTATCGAGAACAGCAATGCTCTCGATTCAATAACTTTAAACTTAAAGGAATACATCATAAATGGTTACCTCATATTTATCCTCAAAGTAAGTAAATTCATAAATATTTTAGATGCTGACTACCATAAGGGTATACTTCCATTTTTAATATGTTACTCGTTTAAAATTTGTATTCATACTTTTTAACCGAAAAAACCCATAGAAGTGATCAAGCAGACTGAGAAGCGAACAAAGAGTGATACGGAGTACGCTAAACCACTCCTTCAGTACTTATACTCACTAGTTTGCAAAAAAAAATCAGAAGACGTAAGTTGACCTACAGACTGTTTACTTTATTCTGAGTGGTCAGCTGGAAAGCCAAACTGTCTAATGAGGTCATCTTGACCATACAGCAGAGTAAATTAAAAATGGAAGATCAAAACTTTTACCTCAGTGGTCAATAACTTCAAATTTTGATTCCTATTTTGACTAATTCCTAGCATACACAAAAAAAAACATACACGCAAGTAGTAATTTGTGGCCTGTGAATATATTGTGATAATAACGACTAACTTCTAACTGACTTAAGTATAACATATGCATTGGGATTCAAGTGTTTCATCCCATAATCTACTGAGGAAAATAAAATATCTACTCAGCTACAGTTGTGCAGTATGACATTATGCTTTTCAAGAAATGATGGCACAATGAAACTATTCTGAAGTTTTAACATTTACATTTCACTTCATTCTCATTAGCACTTCATGTAAGCTAGATCAACAAAATATTTATTGATGATAAAGCCCACAGTGCAAGTATTAATTTTGATCTGGAACTGTATTGCTCAATAGTAAAGTCTTTAATTTCAGCAGAGTAATTCAGGTTCACATCATCAAGGCGGCAGCAATAATTTCCTCTAGGTTATATATACGCCTTACTTCTGCAAGTCAACAGGCATGAAACTTAGGTCAAGTAAGGTTTCTGATCGACTGATTGAAAAAATTGCACCATAGTAACACATCATTTAGCTTGTTGACCACATTGCGAACCTAATCAATAGACTTTAGTCAGTATTGAACATTGGGTGTTGCGAGATACCACTGTCCCGTGTTCCATCCCTGTCAGGAGCGTGAGTGTGCACTTATGAAGAGCTCCGTACTAGGACTAAACAGATTTCAATCCGTAGTGAATACTTTTTCCATGTGTATGTTGTTGTTTGGAAAATATATGCTAGATGTACATATAACTCTTATTTTATTTATTATTCGGGTTCCTAGTGGAACATAGGGCTTCAGTAACACATCGTCATTTCACTCTCTTATCTGCCGTCTTTTCAACCTGGCTCCAACACTGCAAACAAGCTTTCATTTCTTCCTCATACGATCTCCTCCATATCAACTTCGGATGCCCAACTCGTCGTTTCCTCTTTGGATTCCACTTGAGAGCCTAGCCTGACACATGATGTCCAATCCAATCCATCAACACTTTCTTCTGCATATTTGTTGGGTGATGGATTTTTAGTTGCTTCGTTGCCAGCCAGAGTTCCTCGTTGTCTATTCCTATTGTTTCGGTCATCTGATCTTGTGTCAGTATCGAGTGAGCGTAGGCGGCAGCTGTTGATGTGTATCTGCAGTTTGTTGGAAATGCTTCTCGTTACGCGCCAAGTCTCTCAGCCATCACATGAAAGCATTGACTTAACTGAATTAGTGTTGAAAATCCGGATGTTGTTGACACTTCATGCTGAGTGAAGTGCAGTAGATCTCCACACTGATTTCAGGTTAATGAAGGCCTGATGTTCCGATCCTGGCTTTGACGTCCTCATCTATGCCTGTGCCGCCTGTGGTTGAGACGATGCTATCTGCCTAGGTAGGTGAAAGAGACAACTTTCTTTAGATTTCTCTCGCTGATGGTGATCGGTGGTCGTTGTTCTTGTTGTTAGTGGTAGTCGGGTATCTTTATCACCTCTATCTTCCCTACGTCCACTTGAAGTCCCGTCTTCTCTGCCTCTTCTACCAACTTGTTAGTTTTCGCCTGTAGATCTTCGAGTTTGTGCGACATTGGAAATAAATCATCATCGGCGGCGAAATCCAAATCTTCTTCTGGGTTCTTTTGATAGGTTAACCCAGCGTATGCCCCTCTTCTGGCTCCTCACAGTTTTTCGCATCATCCAGTCCACCACTACATAACTCTTAGCTTTGCTTAATAAATAAACTGCAACTTGAATAAAGTTTTGCCAATCAATGAGAATTCATAAGTAGATGAACTTAAAAAATACAGTATGCTACAGGTCAATAAAAAAGGAGAATGCCAAGGTTATATTCAGAATGATGTTAGGCGATATTTCCAATGCAGTGTCACCTATTCACGTGAAATAAGAGAATTTAATAGTCAGTTAACGAATTTTAAACATAAACATTTTCCACACTTGAGTAATTTTCCAGCTGCAGAGGACAATCGATAGTTATCCTCTACAGTTTACTAAGAAATTTATGCGAATATATCGGAAACGAAATATTAACAATTACACGAATACGAATAATAGCGATAGCACGAGTAGAAACATATTCAAAGCCTCTATTATGTTACCATATAAGGAAGGGATATCACATACTTTACGTAGGATCCCCAACAAATCTGAAATTAGGGTGGCATTTAAATCTAAAAACTCATTCAGAGATTGTCTTTGCCAACTTAAAGATTCGATAGATCCGGGTGAGTGAAATAATGTAATCTACCAAATTCCATGCTGTGACTATGAAGTCAAGTGCATGAGTCAAACTAGCAGGTCGGGGTTAGTTAGATTAGTGGAACATAGGAATTTAGTTAAACATAGAATGACAGACCCCAATAAGGACAATGACCTAGAAAAAAATACTTCGGCTATTGTAATATACACATTAGGACACAGCCATATAATAGGATAAGGTGAAACCACTGTACTTAAGTTCAATATAATTAGGTAGTTTATCGAATCAACACTCAACACATGGAATAGGAATGACGCGACACCTATACCAGAGATATGGAAAATTTTACTACCAATAAAAACAACTCATATGAGGTGACAGGACTATAAAAATCAGATGCCCAATATAGTGTGATCACATTGACACTATTATGAGAAGAAATGTATGCTGGAGACGTCATTACCAAATGAGTAATGCGGTATCCTGTTCCCTACATATCAAATAAACAAATCTAATATGGAATTACATTCTACTACAGTGCCCTAGTTTTATACTTATACATTAGTTAGAGTGACTTTAAAGGTCACTCTAACAAGTTAGTGAAATAGCCAAGTGTGCTTCTGCACTTCATAAAAAATTATCAACTCAGCCGGAATAAAGAAATCTAACTGATCCGACTGGTAGTTGCTAGGACGACCTTCAGAGTCACATTTTAGTTATCGTAAGGACGACAAGTTTTCCAGACATAGTATCTAAGTTCGTTCAGTAGTTAAGCCTTCCTTTTTCTAAAGTGCATTAGAAAGCAATTGGGATGCATAACTTTCCATCCTCCTACGCATATTAACATTCTTTTTGAGTAAGTTTACGGTTTTCAACGTTAATTTTCTGAAGGCAGGAGATGGAATGAACAATAATTGCAAGTGTGCTTTTAAATTCTCTGATTCTTATAGAATTATTTACACATCTTTTGATAGATGTTAGTTGGATGGAGGAAATCGACAGGAAGCTCTGGACCTAGGTTATGTATTTGTTGGCACTCGTCAGCAAGGCGTATCTGCAACCTTGACGGAACTGATGTCCGGCCTTGGATTCGAACTGAAGTCATGCAGTGTTGTAGTCAGCGACGTTATCACTGAGCTTTTCAGGCTGCAACTGACCTCCTGTAGGACTGGGTCAGATAAAACTCAGTGGTAACGTTATTGACCACAAAAGTGGTTGACGCGGGTTCGAGCTTCATGCGAGGCATCAGTTCTGTCGGAGTTGCAGGTACACCTTACCGACGAGTGTCAACAAACATGAAGCCTAGGTCCAGAGATTCCTGCCGATTACCTGCATCCAGCTGTCTAGTCTGGTGGCCACACTGAAAAATGATCGATAGAATTTGATCAGCACTTAGGACTAGACAACATGAAGTTGGTTACTTTCCAGTGACGAATCAATGTACAGATCTTATTGTGTGCCTTCTACGCTCTTTAGCATGGATGTGGATTTTATGGAATAAGTCCTCCAATACAACAGGCATCCCAATTAAAGCCACCTAAGTCACAGACACAATTCTGTGTAGAAAAACTACGTGTTCTGGCGTTTAAATGATCTTGGAAAAGTGAGAATTTCTGTGTAGATAACTTGCATCTAGCTTTTTTTGAATATGGTTTGTAATTGTTCCTCTGTAACTTTAAGAGAAGAAAAAGCTACTTGACGGCTGCTTTTTTCTTTCCGATTTGCGTCTTCATGCTTTATAAACTTCCAACTTCAATATGAAGTTAGTACTGATGACATCATCAAGAAAGACAATGAAAGCTTCACTATGAAACCATCTAACTCAGAGAACGCAATATAGCCGATATCATCTATCTAACCTAATTGATTCATACAGGATAGTTTTAGAATGTAAAACATTTATAATATTCTTCTTATCTGTTTATCTGTCTTCCTCATTTATGACAGACTTTGTCACTCTAGTGAATAAGTTTAAAGTGAGTGAAAGTTTAACACTAAGGTGAAATCAAGATATAAATGTGTTAATTTATAATAGATTGACAAGCTCAGATTGCCGCTTCCATTCCTTCTAACTTAATAGCCTAAAATTGACGGTTCACCATTTCAATGTTCAAGACAGTATTCATCACGTAATAGCATCAGTTGGAGAACCGTTGAAAACTTGGGAGCACTGGACAGCTGTTTCGTCCCAGTATAAGAGTCCTCTTCAATGTTAACAGCATAAACTTCGTATTTCTTGCTACAAACAAGCCGTTTTACTCTTCTCTTCTGTGACTTTATTACTGGTTGTATTATTTAGTCCACTCACTTCTGCTAACTTGGAGTGACCCATAACTGTACGATACTGTAAATATTTTCTTCGTTTCTATCCGTCAATCTATCGAACTATCTAACTGAAACAGACAACTACCAGTATTATCTGTGTGAAATATACTACTGAATAGCCTGGGTAGTTAAAAGTGATTCATATGAAACTTTGTAGCATAAAATAATCTATTCGCTTCAGTTCTAGGTAGTAAAGCATAATATTCTCTGCCAATTATCTTTTGTTCAAGGACCCTGCCACTTAGGCTGTTATTCATTACAGAATGGTCAAATTCTTGATGCATCTATGTCAGTTCGTGATTCGACACCTTGTTCTTATGATAATCCTGATGCACGTTGCGTTCAATCCGTCTGTATTGTAAGTGATTTATATTTATTTTCTGTAAACTTCACTGATAATACAATAAGTGTGAGAAGAAATTAGTTGGCCTGTTTGACATTTGATTTTCATGAGGTACTGAATTCCAGAATGGTGTTTTCATCAGTAAACTTTCGCAATGAAAAGCATCTCCAAAATGATAGAGATCCAGGATACGACAACATGATTATACTTCACTCGAAAACTTAACAGATGACCAATAATCAGTGAATAAAAGTCTTACTAAATGCAATGCCAGGTGATAAAATTACTCTTTAAACGTGTAACTATAGTGATTCACATCATCATTCAAGAGTAGTCACTGTCTCTGCTCAATGGAGACCAGTTTGACAACAAAGACTAACTCATATAGTCTAATCAAAGATCGGGTAGTAAATTATCTCCCTTTAAGTCACCTCTATTGAATTCAGGTTAGTATGCGTCATAGGCTGACATCAGTTGCAGAAACACTGGAAACCTGGAAGCACTGGGCAGCTGTTTCGTCCTTGTACATGACCCGCAGCAGTGCACACCCATGTCCCCGCCAAGGATTGAACCCGGGGCCTGTAGGTTCTGTGGTCAGTACATTGCCATTGAATCCAATGGTCCATATTTCCTACTCCTGTCAGTTTACGACATAGCGTGACCTCCATCCAATGTGGATATGAAAATCGGAGTATATTCTATTAATTCACTTAAAAGTAAAAAAAACCCTTCATGGAAGAAGTGAAATTGAAACATAATCGACAGTTGAATCTTGTTGATAAGGTAATACGTTGTCAGAGCAGTAACACCAAAAGTGTTAATTTGAATACTATCACTTTTAGGCATCTTGCTCTTAATGAAAAGCAGTTTTACTCTGAAGTAAGTGGAAACCCACAGGATCAACAAAACAGTGAAGTCTTCTGATACGGAGGTGATGATTGGAGGTGATATAAAAACATGGATGGCGACAGGAATCGAACCAACGACCCACAGACTTCTGGTCCAGTGCTGTACCAACAAAGCTACGAGACCCAACTACTTATCAAATCTTAATCCTGCCTCATGTGGTTGCCGTATGATTGCGCAATGCGTAAATGTCAGTTAATCGTAATTGGTTTTCCTTTATTAATATCACAGTATTAGGGAATATATGGTCTGTATTATTGGTTTTCTTTTCTTTATGAGTCACATCTAATCCGTATTTTGCATACCTATCTCTGATAAAATTACGATTTGTTGACTAGCCAGTGACAGTAACCAATTTCATCTTATCTAGTCCCGAGTTCTGAAGGAACTCCATCACTCACTTTACAATGTTTTGATGATATTGTATTCTCTGGGCTGGATGGTTCATTCGTGAAGCTTTCACTGCCATTCTAGACGACAGTATCAGTACAAATTTCAAAAGAAAGTGAGCTATAAGGCTTTCTCTGTAGTTTACTTAGTAGGTTGTCCTGATGTCTTTGTGTGTGATTGGTTGTTCCTGTCAAGGTCTTGTCATTGTCTCCACGTTTATTTTGACTGGTTGTCTTGACGACCTGAAATTTCTTATTTCTTATTAACTGATAGATTGCATCAGTACCCGTATGTCTGTTGATTGCAGACCGACCTGAATACCAGGCTTCTAAGAGTCCTATGGAATTCTTTATATTTCCTCTATTTAAGGCTTTTATATTTTCCCAGTCAAATTCATATCCACAGTTGCCTGTGGACATCAGAACAAGCTAATAAATAAACTATAGAGAAAAACTCACAGATTAATTCTTTCTAAAGTTTGTGCTGATGATTTTGCCTAGGATGATAACGAAAGCTGCATGATTAAACAATCCAGCTCATAGAACACAGTACCATCAAAATTATCCTCCTGAGCTACAAATATTTTCCATCCCTTTACAATGTAGCCATCAAGCTAGGAAGCTCATCGTCCCAGTGCACTTTGCTGGATGTTAGCTGGTTGGAGGCAACTGTCAGCAAGCCTTACCCACAGAGGCTTCGTATTTGTTGACACTCAACCTGGAGAGAACTGATGTCTCTTCCTAGATTCCAACCCGCGTCACCCAGTGTTGCAGTCAGGGACATTACCGTTAAACTATTATGATTTATTTTCTGTCTCGAATGCTTTCTTTTCCAAGGATAAACTTATCACATCTTATGAAATTTACCACATTAGGGAGAAGCATTTTTCAGTAACTTTCTATATCAGAAGTGATGTGAGTATATGAAAAATTATTAAATTATTAACACTTGGAAAAGTGTAAAATTTTTCAGGTAATTTTCCTTACAGACTGAACTAGTGTAGATCAGAAAGCATTGAACAACTGATGATTTTAGTCTTTGAACAAATAACAATGCGCAATAGCGAATTAATGCCATATAGATAGAGTTTAAGGTGTTTTCACCTTTTATATGCTAGACAAATGCTTTCAGATAGTATGTATAATTAGTTTATGATATTCACATTCCATTTAGAATTTTGGTTTCGATAGCCAGAAATGCAGAGCAACATTGACGTTTGAACACTGAAGTACATGATTGGTTGTTTATGGCCTTGAATATGGCCATTTTATGTAGAAAGAGTTTAATTTCCTTAGGAATCTGTGCTTTTTAAGATATTTTTCTATTTCACATCTTGCACCTTGTAGATATTCCTATAATAACTGCCTACTTTATACTAATCAAGTATTTGATTATTTTCTAATTTAAGCTTATTTGATAAACAGGGGACTGTATGCTCGTTGACGTTTGGTTGGTTGTTGAAGCCTCAGTTAATCTGACCAAAATGTAAAGGTCAGTCTAGATAACATATTCACAGTTACAGTAGCTCGTAGCTCGTTGCTTCATGAGCTAAATAAAATGTGTGCTTTCTTGAATAATGCAATATAGAACCATTTAACCTTATGACTTCATTATCCACTTCATTAACCGAATAAATAAGCCACTAGCATCATTTCGGTTACTTCTATGAACTTCATCAAAATGTCATAAGTTTCACAGTAATATAAGTTACTGGAAAACAGTCTTAGGTTGAAATCGATGGACGATAAATTTAAACACCGAGTGGAATAACTTGAACATAATGCAACATATGTGCGGCTGATAACTTCCAAATAGAATTGAATTAAACTTATAGTCACCTACAAGTAGATAGTATCAAGATTGAGAATAATGACAATACTGAGGCATTCCTGCAGGAATCCATATTCCAATAAAGACCAATCAATTCGGTTCAGTCGACGAGGCAGTAATACAAGTAACATCATACAAGTAACTAATGTTTACATGTATTTTTCTGTGTGTTCATAATTCGTAGAATTTTGACTGTTTGGGAGAAGTGAATGGTACTGCTATGAGAGATCAATGTGGAGTATGTCAAGGAGACAATTCAACTTGTAAACTTATACAGCATAGAATTCAACGGACACGTAAGTAACATTAAATGTTGTAAAGAAAAGAGTGTATTTGAAAATTATTAGAAACAGTATTACATGTGTGTATTTAACACGCCTTTTGATTCGAACATAATCGACTCTGTATTCTCACTAAGTATGACGGTATGGTAGTTGTTTTGACTAAGAATGATTAAAAGATCACTTATATTTGTCTAGTTTTATTATTTATTACTCTCTCTTGTTATTATAAAGTATTTTATTAAAAAACTAGCTGTGATTCTATGGTTAAGACATTCTGATTGCAATCACATTAGTTGTACATAAAGACAAAAAACAGAGTTGTGTTCAACTGACAAACCATCTAACTCTTAAATGACCATGCTGAACCAATTAATCTGCTGGCAGTTTTAATCATGAACTCGTCTTCAGTCAGAGAACCACTGAAATCCAGAGAATATTGAAAGAATATTGAGAGTAATGACGCATATCTGTCGATGAAATATCTCGGGTAGATTGAAACTTCAAAGCATATACTATTCAATCTAAACTCAATTACTGAAAGATGATGAGCTTTCTGCTGAATATGAAAATCGTTAGTTTCCCATACCTTGTGGAATCAAGGATGTACTTTATAATTAAGTCTCCACCAAGGATATAACGGAATTTCCTATCTTTCACTTGTTCCCTAGATGATGGTAGTTTGTAGTGAAAAGTAGTTGACTTTCACATTGAGTTCTAAGCAGGTATCACTGCACCATAAATATGAACAGAAATACTAGATGTTAGTTGGTTGAAGAAAATCGGTAGGAGGTTTCGCCCCACCCAGGCTTCTTGCTTGTCGGCACTCGTCAACGAATTGTATCTATAACCTTGATGAAGTCGATATCCCCTTTGAGATCTGAGCCTTCTCTACCCACTCCTAGACGTCATCATTGACCTATTCGTGCCACGACTGACCTCTTGTGTGACTGGATTATATAAATTAGTTGGTCCCTGAAAAGTAACCGACTTCATTCTGTCTTACCCTGGATGCAGACCAAATTTTACTGATCAACGTGGCCAACGTGCTTGAATAAGTTGCCAATAGGTCTCATGGATGAGTACCAGCAAGCATGAAACCGAGGTCCAGGGCTTTCTCTGATTGACTCTAAGCAGCTTACATCTATCACAGAGCACTGTGAAGTTGAGCTTCCTGGCTTGCCGGCCGCATTGCAAAGTCATCGACAGAATTCAGCTGGCATTTAGGACTAAATAAGATGAAATTAGTTGCTCTTCAGTGACCATTTAATGTGCAGAAATACTACTTTAGATCCTTTATCATTTTCACTTTTGTATGTCTGTCCTCTGAGCTCTGGTTGTGGACAACAAACTGTTCCGTGTCAAGCTAGACAGCATCGTAAGTGTAACTCCACACAGAAGTGTATGCTATTTCACAGGCGATTTCTGGTATATTTCAGAACGATATTCTTCACAATTTCGAATCATGTAAATGGTCGGAAATAATCCTTTAATGATGAATTCCTGTATGACCCAATTTCGATACTTTCCAGCAACATTGTAACATCATCTCTGAAGAGCTTTGCCAATGATGATAACAAGCCTAATTTGGAGTTATTGCACAAATGTAAGCAGTAGATTGTGTACCAGATGTACTGCATGAAGGTTAACAATATTACGTAGGTAATCAGGTGGCATTCTAAAGAATGATCTGTGATGTGTAGACTACTTTTGTGGGTTCGAGAACCTAAGTGTAGAGTGAAAACTCTACAAACACAAAACTTCTGGCATTTTACAGTAAAAATAGAATTTGCACGAAGTTCGCGACCAATTTCGTCTGCAGTCTCTGATTCAAAAAAAACAGTTACTGTTAGCCTGAGGATAAACCTCCATGGTCTATTGAGCTGTCATATCTGCTGCAGGATGCTGAGTATCTTGAGTCTATAGAAAGGTTTACGATATACCACTACAACCAAGTTCCATGGTTTAAGTGCTAGTCTGCCCACTGCTACAAGTATTAGCCCTCAATAAAGTCCTAAGATGGATGAATCGTACAGCATGTTAAGTTGTCCTATGATAACATGAAGCCAGTGTCGCCCACTGTATAACTTCTGTTGGTCATAAAACAGATAATGAATCCTCGTAGTATATTTTCGTTAGTGAGTGTAAGAAAACTGATTCAAATGCATTACAGGTCATTCAATCACCCACAAGTCATCGCTTAAGTTAATCATACGGGAAAACAGTATCCTACGATAAGCAAAACAATTTGTTCAAAATATGATATACAGTTCTGTATAGCATTTCTTTTCACTGCCTTCTTGTTTTAGTTCCAGCAAATGAAAACTATCGTATGCTGTATGTGATTCCACGTTATGCAAGACATTTAAAGGTTATAAAGAATCATGGTAATCATGTACTGGGTAAGTTATCACCTTTAATTATAAATAACATTAGTTAATTATTTACTATATATTCATCAAGTTGAAATTATCTTTGATATACAGGTAGTAAAATTGATGGTGAACGACTGTTCACTTACAAGAGCCAGGAAAAATGATTCATGAGAGCCTGAGAAGAACAATTCAAAAATGCGGAAGTTTATTTTAAGATGAAAATAGAACTACATTCAATCTTGAGACTTTCCTAAGGTGAAAACCGTTAGATTTCGCTCGTGTAATCATGGCTAAAGACCGACGTGTGATAATAACAGTGAGATCAAACCATAGTAGTAAATTCGAGCTGACCGGATGATTAAGTCTTTTCAAAGCTGCAGAAATTGGTTCAAAGGTTAATAAAACCAGTCAGGACAAGGGGAAGTATAGCTGGAATATAGATGACTCACAAAGAAGGCATGATAAGAAAAAGGTTGACATAACAAAAACAACTTGGAAAAATAAAATAGGTAAACACGACATATATTTATGTGATTTGTCTTTTCAAGATTAATGTTCAGGCGCGATATTCTGGTCTAATACGAGTCAAGCAGTAATAAGATAGCGTAACTTACAGATATCTGTCTCTAAAGGAGCAGGTTTATACAAATGATAAGAATTCAGCATGAAGAAAGATACAGTTGAAAATTGGTATCAGTGAATTATCACATTTTGCTGCAATGCATAGTACTGAAGAATTGCAGAGTACTTCGCTATGGAATTCCTTTCAGATTAAATAAACAAGTTTTTCAAGAGCTGTTTTGTTTTAAACCAGTTTTCATGAAGTATCTGTGTAAATCAGATATGGAAGTCAATGAGTACTGGAAAGCTGTTTTATCCCAATGTAGAGCTTATCAGCAGTGAAAACCCATCTTCTAATGCACAATCTAGCTAAGGACTATAAGTTCTGGTAACATGCACGTTACTACTCTATGTCTTTGTTGGAATCAAATGATCTATACTTTCTATGCTAACTTCTTTAAATTCATGATATAGAGAAACTACTATTGAATGTAATCACTAGGCGTCTAGGCATGATACAGTCTGATTTACTGTCTCTACTACCTAAATATCTGATAGACCGTACATGTTATACTTTCTGAAGGGGTGGACTTGTTGAAACCTTAGGAATTCAGCTTTCTGTTTCGTTTGAATCCTTACAAATATATTGGACTCTAACACAGTAGCTGGATGGTAACGTCACTGACCATGAGACCTAGTGGTAGTGAATTTGACCTTTCAAGAGGTCTTGATTGTACACTATCCGGAAATTCCGAAAATGGTATGAAACTGCTGTGCAATGCTCCCAAGTCTTCAATGGTTCTTCAATTGATATCAATCCATGACGAAAATTACTTTTAAATGTTTTCATGTTATCAACTTCCCACTTATTGGTAAACTTGTTCAGTTCCATGTTAATAATAATGGTTGCATTATTCTATACAATATGTATGATACAGCATGGAATTCTCAACACTCAATTTCTCAACAAAGTCACTCTCAACACTATATTCTTAGACAAAATGATTATTACATTTGAATGATGTTAATAATAACAGTATTCAAGACAATAATGTGAAACAGCCAGATCGTTTCGGATTAGCGTCCGGTCCATAATGAAGAATCAACAGAAACGTGAGCTTAAGTTTGCTGACAGGTGTTCACTCAGCTAGTACAAGAATCGGTAACTTAAGCTCAGTATCCGAAGGATAGAAATATGATGTACTTTTATTCACTGAAAAGTCCACTTCTATATAACGTGACATTCATTTCTCTGTTTTGTTATTAACTTGAGAAAAGGTGTGTTGAAAACATTTTAAATATTTGCAAGAGTACATGATACGTTTAGAGGACATATTTAAATGATTAAATCAAATTGAAAAGAGGAAATTTGATATATATACGTTCCGTGGAAAAGTTTAGTAGCGCAAAGTTCAAGTAAGCCGCCTATCTTGGCCCTGCATTTTACGAAATCAACACGTTGTTACAATTTTATTTTAGTTGACTTTAACCCCAGTTCAATACAAACCTCAACTCACGAATACTTTTTTGATGATTATATTAAGATTGTAATTTTAATTCTATATTAGATATGTTTATTTCATCTATAACATACAGTATTACTTACTTGATGATGACGTTTCAAGGATAAATTATTATCGCTCATAATGATATCACAGTGTAATCACACTACTTTCGACATTTGATCTTCATAGTTATGTCACTTTATATGAGTTGTTCTTATTGGCAGCAAAATTTTCCATATCTCTGGATCCTTAAGCCAGCCGACACAGCTTATTTCTGAGTGAGTCCGATAGAACCAATTGAGCAAAATAATCGAATGTATCAAACTCTACGTAATGACTGTGAAGTCAAGTACATAGGTCAAACTAAGCAGTCGGGGTCAGTTTGATTAACAGAACATAGGAATTTTGCTAAATATAGAATAACAGACCCGATTAAGATCATTAATCTAGAAAAACACTCGGCTATTGCAATGCATGCATTAACACGTAACCATCATCATCATCATCATCATCATCATCATCATCATCATCATCATCATCATCATCATCATCATCATCATCATCATCATCATCATCATCATCATCATCATCATCATCATCATCATCATCATCATCATCATCATCATCATCATCATCATCATCATCATCATCATCATCATCATCATCATCATCATCATCATCATCATCATCATCATCATCATCATCATCATCATCATCATCATCATCATCATCATCATCATCATCATCATCATCATCACATCAATATCAACATAGGACCAGGCATTACTGTGTAACGGTCCGAGTTGCCACAGCTAATATCAGTACATCATGTAGGAAGGTAGTGAGATGAAAGATGGAGATAAGAAAATTCAGTCAAAAGAAATATAAAGTACGAGAAGAAAGAAAGGAGGAATGACAAAGTGGTGAGATTCGGTATAGCGTTGTTAAGATGAGGATAATGTGTGTATACATCTACGACACTGACATCAGTTCTCAGCCATATCACCTAGAGTCTCTAACCACTGGTTCCTCTTGTCCCGCGAACAGACCCCAACCACCTAGTATGCATCGTCCCATGTGACTCAAACCAGCAGTCAGAGACTTCATACATTGGTGCCATGTTTTAGTCTGGCCACCTCAGGCCTTTTTTCGGCCTGGACCCACCTCAGCCAACATTGTGTGACGAGGCAATCGGTGACTAAGCATAAATAACACGTGTCTCAACCATCTCAGTCGATGAAGGTTCTTAACCTCGTCAACCGACTTACCTCTTCTCCCTAAAACTCTACACCTGACTTCTTCATTACTCGAGTGGTGACACCACGGAATACGGTCTGTACTACGAAGGCAACGGTGGTCAACCTATTGAAGTCTCTTCATGTCTTCCATCTTAAATTGCGATATTTCACAGCCACGTAGTAGAACAGAGCGAACATACGACCCTTAATAGACAATCGGATATCACGGCGGCGCCACAGGTGGTGTAAGTTGGCAAAAGCCAATCGATCCTTTTGTATGTGTACGGAGATTTCATCGGCCACTGAGTTACCAGGGCTGATCCTACTTCCCAGGTAAGTGAAGTGGTCGACACACTCAGTCACTACACTTTATTATTAGCCAAGGCACCGTTGAAGACTGATCCTGGACCAACAGTTTGCAGTTCGATGGTGATAAATGCATCCCAAACATTCTCAAATTGATACTCAAAGTGTTCGGAAGACTCTGCATCTTGTCAGCGTCTTCACTTAACAGGACTATGTCATCTGCATATTCTAGGTCTAACAAAAATTCTCCACCGATTAGGTCAACCTCTGTATAATCAGGTGATGAGAGAGAGACCTCCACAAGAATATCTATGATAAAATTGAATAAGAATGGAGACAGTTGATATCCTTGACGGACATCACTCGATGAGTGTAGCTCCCTGGATATCTCACCATAGGCTCTAACACGCCCACAAGTTTTCGAGTGGAGAGCCGAGCGGCGATGTCACTGCCATAGAGTGGGATAAAGCCACTGTACTTAAGTCCAATATAATTAGGTGGAGAGAGAGATTGACTACTAAGTCTTTGTTCATTAAATCAGCACCCAACACATGTAGTAGAAATGACGCAACACATACCAGGGATATAGGAAATTTTACTACTAGTGGAAACAAGTAATATGTGACAGAACTATAAAGATCAAATGTCGAAAGTAGTGTGATTACATTGATATGATTATGAGCGATAATAATTTATGCTCGAAACGTCACCATCAAGTAAACAATACCATATCACTGTGTGCTATAAATCAAATAAAAAAATCTAATATGGAATTAAATTATACCACAGTGTCCAAGTTTTACACCTAGATTGTAATTTTGATTAAACTATGCATTTATTGTTGATAATTAAAAATGTATTTTAAGTTATGTGAAGAGCTTAATTTGATAGTACTGAAGTGAAGATATGTACATATGTGTATATATTCCAGATAGAAACTCAAAGTATGGACTGAAAACTTTAAACCTCAAACTGCACTTCCATGAATCTTTGATCTTTAGTAGTCGCCTATCTATGTGGCAAGCATTCAGTTTACGGCAAGTGTTCATTGAGCCTCATTGGTAAAGCTAACTGGTCTGACATAAGTTCCAAATGAGAAATAAACCATTCGTTGAACTGCAAACTATCAGTAGTTTTCTTCATTAAACCTCTATCAAGAAGGTACTCACTTGAAGCAAACTATTCTTCCTATTTCTTCTTTGTTCAACTAACTACTCATTTATTCCACATACATTTGATTTATCCCTTTTAGGTCTTTTCGATATGTCACATTTTCAGTTCTTTCTCAGAGGTGAAGATTTGGAACCAGGAAGTAAAATAAGACGTGTCTATTTCGCTACAGAATTTACATTTGATCGGGGAAATGAAATGGGAAGTTCAAAGGAAGACTTTATTCAAATCTACACAAAAGGAACGATTTATGGAGATGTAGCCATTCAAGTAAGTTTCAGGTAATTATAACATCCTTTAAATAAAGAAGAAAGGTCGTGTTACATTCAGGAAGTCAACCGACAGGAAACCATGCTCGATCAAAGACTCGCGTTTTTGTTCATACTTATCAGCACAGCATATTACCAGCCATGAGAAAACTGATGTTCCGTCTACCATAGGCTCTGATTTCATCAGTGAGTGGTGCATGTTCGAATCATCAAGGAATACCAGTTTTATCTCGGTTGCAGAATCTCTTCCTAATGAATGCCAACAAGCATGAAACCTGGGGGAAACAGGATGTCCTGTCCACTGATCTCCAACATCTAATATCAAACTACAATGTACTATAGTGCTGTATTATTTAGCTTATTCACCACATCGAAAATCTGTTTGATGGACGTTGGTCATTGGTGACCACTAATGTCTAGAAAGGTACATCGTTTACACGCTAGTGACAAGTTTCTATGTGGTTCTAACGGTCCCTTGAAAATAAGATACTGATTTTACTCCCATTTTAAGGTGGAATAACTTGACTAACTGCGCACTGGAACAGATACATTGTTCATGACTTTGGTCCCGTTGACTCACTAGAATCGAACTTTCATGATTCCTAAGAAGCAGCTGGATGATTATGAAACGACCAAACTACTAGCTAACCGCCTGGGTATCAGTTGAATAATGAAACAGATTTACACATGAAATTAGCAATCGGTTATGTATTGTAGATGTGACTGAAATGACAGCCGTAAACAATGTATCAGATAGCCGTTAACATTTTTCATGTCAGTCACAATATTATTTATAGGTAACTGATGTTTTATGAGCACAGCTTATTGATGATTAGCTCTTTCTTGTTGTCTGAATATCTGCTGTTGTCTGATTGATCGAAGTCATGAGTTGGCTGTCAGCCAGACTGAGCTTGTCATTTCCACAGTTTGTTAACTGTAGCTTGCACGCTGTTTGCTGTTGAATCACCTCGTATGTAAGTCCACAAAGTTATGGATTGATCAATTTTCAATATAGAATTACTTATTATTGTTATGAGAAAACCAGACAGTCGTCTTCTGAATTTTCACAACTCTCAGGCTCGTTTATCCAGGTGACACTTACAAAACCAATATTTAATCAAGGACAATAGAAGTGTTTGTAAGCGAACAATAGAAATGATGCTGCTATTTCATCCATTATTGCATGATACAAAGTAACATAGTTTGCTAAAGGCAGATTTTAATACCCATTATGGCTTAAATACGTATAGAATATGCATTCATTAGCATTATGCAATTGCGTAAGTCAGTGAAACAATGCGTATGCGTGGATTATAAAATTGAGATAAGAGACAGTTTTGTAAAGGAATGATACTAGTTCTCAAATACAATCAATGAAAAACGGAATTTTCATGTATCCAGCATTTATGACTGAAGGAGAGCGAACTTCATAGTCCCCGCAGAACTCAATCCGATGGCCTTGTGCACTACTGATTAGGCTAGTTAATGCTTTCTCAACTAGTGTGAGTAACCAATGCCTAGTCGCTTTCCAAAGCTTCCCTGAAGAAGGTCGTATCAGACTATATAAAGTATGAAGATTATACGCCATATCTAAGATCTTAGATATGTTGGCACTATATTTGGACAGTTAGAAAGCGACTTACCTGTAAGCAAAATGAGTGAGAACTATAAAGTTTAGAAACAGATTGCAAGCTGGTCAGTTAGTCAGATTCACTTGTCCTAAGGAATTCAACTTCGCTGTGAGCTGAATTTCTTCGGTTACATAGCTCACGAAATGGGCTTAGAAAGAGCTAAACAGCTGTCCATTGTTGAAACTATGCAGATCCAACTACCGAAATCTCCAGGTTATTGTGAATGGCTTCTAATCACTGACTTGTTCTACGGAATATTTAAGGGAAAGAAATAGATACTATTTCATGCCCTCTATCAGAAAGCTGTAGGCTTTACACCTTAACCGTAATCTCATATCATATTGCTTATTTCATATAGTATTCACTGATATGGTATTATTTACTGCATGATGCTTCAAACACAAGGTATTGCTCACAATAAAAAAACATCCAAACCTCATTTTTCCAGCCTTATAGTTCTTCATTCTTTCATTGTCAATCGTACTAAAAGTTTCCAAGTATCTGTAATGTATGACGAATCACTTTGTCAGACCTGCTAAGTGTTGATTCAACGAACAAGCATTCTGTAATCAATCTCTGCTTCTAGCTTGCTATATTAGATTTTAGAAATGTCACTTTATTCAACCCTATAATGAGATTATTAGTAAATGCATGCACAGCGATAGTAAAGCCTTTTCTAGATTACCTCCCTTGGTTGGGCATATCATTCTGCTTTTCGTTAAACTTTTTCTCTTCCCTATCATAACTGATCTGGATTGCCTATTTTAACCTGGATACTTGACCTCATGATCATTATATGGTATTTGATAGATAAAGCTTTTTTAAATTAATCGGACATACAGCATCTTTCAGACGACAAAGTTTCTTCCTAAATGCGCTTGTGTGTTTAAATGTTACTCTACTTTTAGCTACATTAAGAACCTTACTTTGGTTTTACGATATCATTAAATAGTATAACAACGCTATGAAAGATTCAACTTTCCTCTCATAGTTTCTCGGCAAAAGTATCATTGTACTTCATCCAACTAACTGTATGACATGTAATCATGCTCTTGCATAGTGCTTAAGTTTTACCCTCATATTGACCATAATGTCAGCATACAATCCATCACACTGTGTCTGATATAGTGGTAATGATGGATATTGGCCAGCAGCGGAATTCAGGATGCGCATTTTATCCTATTTAGGACTCCCACTGGGTGATATTGGTCCCACCAGGATTCGGATTTGGGAGCCATCGATTCAAACGCCAGGCAGTTATCCACTACACCACCTAGCCATAATAGCCGCTTCTTGTGCGACGGGTATAGTTTTAGCATAATTGGTTGTATTATACTGTCGTTGGTTGGAGTGAATTGATTGATCTCTATTGGCATATGGGCTCCTGTGCGGATGTCTCGATATCACCTGTGTTCCTATGTTCCCATCATTACTATAATTAGAACACAGGTAGTATCGGGACATCTGCACAGGAGTCCATATGTCAATAGAGACCGGTCAATTCGGTCTAATCAACGACGGTATAATACAAGCAATTATACTATATCTAATATAGTGTTTCGTGAATAACTCTCATAATGAGCATCGGAAATGTTTTTTATTTTCTGCTTACTGATTTACATCACAAAACTTATCTAGCTGTTTTGTTACACAAGAGCTACATCCACATTACGTAATAGTGACTTTCAACGCCTTGTTTTATTACTCAAATTGTGGATGGGATTGAAGTTTGGCTAATTCAGGTTTGAAATAAATTGTTGGCATTACATTATTTGGATTTCAGTTCACTGGATCTTTAAAATTTCATAACCCGGTTTTGTCATTTAGGATTTTTCCGTATTTTATTGTGGATTTACCAGATCAATTTTAACTGATGAACCATGGGTGGAGTGGTATAGTTTTTGAATATTTGTTTTAGGCTCGAAACTTCGATAATAAAAAACATCGTGATCCATTGAACGTTCAGATAAGCTATTTTCTACCCCTTGGTGTATAATTTTAATGAAGGATTTTCGTTACATTAAAACAACTGAGTAGAATTAAATCAAACATGAACATAATTCGGCGTACTAACAGGAGAACTTAAGCTTTAAAATACTTTTTTCCCTAAATACAAACATATTTACCTTGTATTGAGTTGTAAAGATATTTGAATTTCGATACAAAATACTTCTGTGGAACTAACTTCTTTCTGTTATCTGACAAAGCTGTCAATTTTTATACAAAATATACAACTTTTGATTATAAAATGGAAGATTATGACTTTTTGAGAAAGTGTTTCTATTCATTCCTTATGTACATTGGTTGGTACAATTAGTAGTAATTTCTTTTATTTGATGAACCGTTTCCAATTCATGAAGTATTAAAAATCAGAGGATAAGGAACTAATATTTATGTCTGTCTGGTGGCTATATGTATGATAATTGAGAGCAGTCGGTGGTAGTCAACTAGCTGAGTAGTTTATTTATTGACCAACATCAGTGACACATAATTGTAATCCAGAGAGATTCAATAATCCCAAAGAGGTAAAATCATCGTTCCAAAATTCATATGAATTTGGGTAAAGAACCTCCTTTAGACCGTCCTTATTCAACAGAAACCAAATGTCCAGAGGATACTATTGCATTATTGGAATACTAAAGTTAAATGTTAATCAAAATATGCATACACTTTATATATTCTCGAATAATTTTCAGAGCCAGAAAACTTCAGGGAATAATCCCATGATATAGTTAGCAAATAAAAGCCCATCTGATCTCAATTAAGTGTTCTGCAAAGAAATTCCTAGCTAGTGAGAGGAAAAAGGAAAAAGAAGTATATATAAAATGTTCGGTAAAAAAGCAGAACTAAATGGTGCAAAAACCAAAGAAAAGTATCTTAAAAATTGGAAAAGAGAAATGAACATTGGTAAAATGATACGATTACGAGAAAAACGAAAAATCAGACATAAATATGGCTAAATAAATAAAGATATCACAGTAACAAAACCAGAGAAAAAGAAAAGAATTATATCCATGAAAAATTTATGTACTGTGGACACAAACAATTTACTGGAAATATATTGATAATGAATAATAAACACAGCGATGTCTCGTAGTTGTGAGCAAAATTATCAACAGCGATCACAAAAGGAATTGCAAACGTTTCTTCATACACTACAAAGTCTCACACGAATTCCAAAAATTCGTATGATCAAAGACAGTAATTGCAAAACCAAAAAAAAATAGAAATACACATCCTGCAACAAAACTATCACAGAAACAGAAAAAGAAACAAACGGCGAAAAAATAAAAAGCAAGCAATAAACAGCGTTCAACATCGAAAAAAAATCGGAAAAAATTACAGAGTTACATATCAAGCGACCGGCATACCGTTATTTACCCTGGATAGAATGCGAGTTTGGCAGGTAAGGGAAGTAGAATGTCAAGTGAGCGAGTGTATCACCTTGCCACTGACTGAGAGGCCAACAGATTGAAAGAATGAACGAATAAATATATAAATAAATAAATGTGAGCGAGCTTGTATGAGGGTAAGTGTGTGAGTGATGCACTGATTAAGTGATAGGCTTGTTAGTGGATGAAGTTGTTATTTGGTGTCGTGCCAAGCCCGCGCCTCCGTGGCGCAATGGGTTAGCGCGTTCGGCTGTTAACCGAAAGGTTAGTGGTTCGAGCCCACCCGGGGGCGGAAGGGCTCTTAACGCCACACCTGATCTCAGTTACAGCCGCCACCCACTCACCCATCAATCGACTGCACACATCACACACGCTTCTCGCCTCGTGTACACCGCGCGCAGTCGACTCGTCGTAATCCCATGTCGTCAGTAGTGGGATCCAGTTGCCGGTGGACTTCAGCGACACGTCAGACTGCCTCCCGTCACCTCGAGCTCTGAAATCTGACTCCAAATTATATATACGTGTCCAGATACACTATCGCCTATTTATAATTCCCGACGCTGCTGATCCACCTGCGTCAGACAGCGTAAATAACAGGAGTTAACACGAAGTATATATCGGGTGGTTGTATTAGTCAAGGAGCGAGCAAAAAGTCTTTTTCAGTACAACTAAACAAAAAGTGATCAATGAGTTGTTACATACATCAACACAATACAGTGAAATAAAATGTTATATACGTCCCTTCCCAGAATACAGATATAAGAGGGAATATCTGTGTTCGATATAAAATATTATGAGAAAGGTAAATTCATTTTGAAGATATTAAGAACATAGGAGGAATGTTAAGGATATCTATTATCAGGATGAAAACTGATTGGAAGAGTGTTTACATAAAAATGGAGTGTATGACATTCGAACCACTAAAATAACTTTACCAAAGTAATAATATATCCGGAGATAAAAAAAATTAACAACCAAAATCCTATTACCTGGGACATTGTTAAGAAATAAGAGATTCGGAAGCCCGTGGTGTTGAAGGAAATCCATTCCAATGATAGGCGACGATGTGTCAGCTATGACAAATTCCCACTGGAATGGTGCATGAAAGCCAATGTCTAGGATCAAAATTCTGGTCCCATATGTAGTAATAGCAGATCTATTTGTGGCTTGTAGTACCAATGTTGGGTTGGGATGGCGTTTTTCGGAAGGTGTGGGCTGGATCACGCTCACTTCCGCTCCAGTGTCAACCAGAAACTGAGCTCCAGTCTTCCTATCCGTTACTCGAAACAAACGACTGTGTTGTTGTACGCCGGCGACAGCAGTCGTCACTGATCGCCGGCCTTTCTTTCCGTTTCCCGATGAAAAGGTTTTAAAGTCGCATGGTAACAAACAACGACGTGCTTTACTGCCAAACTTCTTGTGATACCAGCACGTTCTACTTTTAGAGACAATTGTACTCGTGGTCCTATCACGACTACGGGATCTGCTTCTACAGAACTTCGGTGACCGGTTTAACTGCAAAGCCGTCAGTTGTCCTGTAAGTATGTCTATCTTCCTCTCTAAAGCGGCCACTCGGTCGTTTTGCGTTGGCTCAGCAATACTTTCAACCGGTTTAGGCATCCTTTCGTACATACGGTCAGCGATGTCAGCCAACCTGTCAATGTCAATGTCCGCATCTCCGACAGCTAATATCTGCTGAATGCATGAAGGAAGTCTCCGCAGCCAGAGCTGGTAGAATAAACGGTTGTCTACTTTCCTATCTTTCAGCAGACTTTGCATATGTCGCTTAAGTTGTGAAGGTGTTCTGTCACCGAGGCATATGCTACTTAGTAGTTGATCGACAGCCTTCTGGTCGGATAACGAAGTGGCTTTCAGCACCTCCTGCTTCAAAACATCATAAGGTGTGTCTGGGTGGGGCTTTAGTAGTGTCTCCCTTACTTGTTCAGCCACTTCTTCCGGCAAAACAGAGCTTGTGTATCCGAACTTTGTGTTTTGTGAAGTTATATGATTGGCCATGAAGAAATGTTCTAGACGGACAAACCACAATTGCGGGTCATTAAACTTAAAACAAGGCATAGGAAGATTAATGGCACCCACAGACCCTAAATTCGAAAAGTCTTGATTATGAGAGTTTAAGGACATCAGTACTGGTACAGCAAAAAAAAATATTTAAGAACAAGAGCAGGAAAAATACAATAAACAAGTATGTCAATGCCTACCACAAAGCAGCCAAAGAAATTCTCAGTATATATGTATATCCGTATTGTATACAGTCATTAATGGCCGGTTGCAGTATTCAATTGCGAGAGTTTAATCACGTCGGGCTCACCAGTTTGTCGAGCTCTGAAATCTGACTCCAAATTATATATACGTGTCCAGATACACTATCGCCTATTTATAATTCCCGACGCTGCTGATCCACCTGCGTCAGACAGCGTAAATAACAGGAGTTAACACGAAGTATATATCGGGTGGTTGTATTAGTCAAGGAGCGAGCAAAAAGTCTTTTTCAGTACAACTAAACAAAAAGTGATCAATGAGTTGTTACATACATCAACACAATACAGTGAAATAAAATGCTACAACCTCTTCGTGCTGAGGTGATGCCTGTCTCGCCAGCTCTTCTTCGCCTCTACAAACACACACAGTCAGGCTTCACTGACTGCTTGCTTCACACTCGTCTCCGATCACGCTTCGCACCTGCAGACACGCGCACTCGACAAACCAGTCGGCTGATGACTACACATGCACTCCTTCGATGGTTGTCTCCAGGTTGTCTACAGCCTTACGGAATTTCGTGTACCACTGGATTACGCTTCGCTGAATCATGTGAGCACTTGTTTCAAGTCCCCGTGACTTAATTAACACGCTGCTGTGACAGTAAGTTGACAAACACAACTGACACTACAGCTTCATACTATCCATGCAGTCCGACGAAATTGGATGCATGTGGAGTTAGTTGACCAAGTGGTCGGTGAGAGTGAGCGTGAGCGTGAGCGAGTGTATCACGAATGATCATTGTTCATGAGATTTCAGTGTGTACAAGTCACGGTGGACAATGTGAGTGAGAAATGTAGGTGGAGATGTAGGATGTGCAGATGCATGGGGATGAGGATGGCTATATCGTGTTTTGCTTACACCTGTTTGTGAGCGTGATGGCATGAGTGTACGTGGATTTATGCGTGCATGCATGCCTGTGTCTGTGTTGGTGCGCTCAAGCGTGTGTTGGTGATTGTTCGGATTATGAGTGCTTGACATCTGTCATTGTCTGCATTCATTCATGAGTTGGTTGGTGAGTGACACTGTGATAGTCGGTCAAACCAACACCTCCAGATGACCTTGTGATGCTTGATCATTTGCACATTCATGCAGACAGTTCGTCAGTCTCCCTGACCAGTTCTCCTCACTGTTGCCATCAGTGGTGAGGATGAGTGAGCAGTGATGTGATCACGACTCACCTGAGTGAATCTCCACCAATCTGTGTCCAACTAAGTGGAGACGATTTCAGCACACTCGTTCCATTCGTGTTTCCCATGTAGCAAGCAATGACAGGCTTTCAGTTGATGCTACTCGGATACGCGTTGTTTTGTCTGGCTAGAATGTG